GGGGGAGGGGGGCCCAGGCGGCGGCGCTGAGGCGCGGCGGCTGCGCCCCTGGGGTGGGAGTTGTGGCCCGGCCCGCACCCCCCGGGAAGAGGCTTCCTTCCTCTGGGCCTCGGTGTCCCGGACAGGGAGGGGGTGCCCGTTCTCTAGGAACTGCTTTTCCGGCCGCCAACGCGGCAGTCCCTAAGCAGAGAAGGCGCCGCCGCCGTCTCTGCAGTTTTCGCCTGAAGGGGGTTTATCTGCGGGTTTGTTCTGGGACCGGACCGCTGGGAGGCCGCGTCTGCCAGGCGAGGGAGGACCAGGGGCAGACCGGCTAGGGAGGTGTTTTCGAGGGTCGGAGGTCTTTGGCTCCTTAAGTCTCCAAGGCCCCCTAGCAGGGCACTCCCTTCCAGCCTGAAGCCTCGTCTCAGGCAGCCCGCGTCCAGGTCTTCCACCTTCCCCAGCGCCTCCCGGACCGGGACACTCTTGTTCCCGCCTGGGGCGCGGGAAATAGCCCTGGCCGGTGTCCCAGGAGCTGGGGGTGCACACCTGTGGAAAGGGGTGTGGGCTGGGCTGTACTCATCTTCTAACTCCCCCGGATCTGGAGATGAAGCCTTCCTCCTGAACTGACCCCCTCCCCAAACCTGACCAAGTAGCTGCCCCAGGAGGCAAACTGGGAGTAAAGCAGGGTTTGGTGGGTTTGGTGACAGCTGATCCACACTATGTTCCTCGCGTCCTCTGATCTGGGACCCCACGACTCATCTTTAGGATGTGAGACCCTCAGGTCTTGAGAATAGAACAGAGATGGTTCAAATTTCGGTGGCTTCTGTTAGGACTCAAATAAGAGATGAGGGGATGGAGTGGAGGCTGGCTGGGCCTCCTCTCAGGAAAAACTACCCTGAGGGCCGCCTGCCACGTAGAGCCCCTCACCACCTGACTGCCAGGGAGGGTAGCTGGTCTGGGCACTGACGTCACCCTTTCCTGAAGGAAGAGGTAGAAGCAAGGAGGAAGCAGGTGGGCCCCACTCTTGGGACACCTGAGGGAGGTGGAGGAGGGAGCTGGGAAGGGAGCCGGATGCTGCAGGACCCAGAGCAATTGAAAACCGGCCCCACTTGCTGTGGCTCCTAGACCGGCCTCTTCACCTTGCTGGACCTCCATTTCCCCTCTGAAAAAGGAGGTGGCTGGACTGGGTGATACCCATGCATCCATCTAGGAAGGGGTTCTCTGAGCCTGCTCATGCAGAGGAGCCCCGCTGAGCTGCCCTGATCTCTGGAAATGCTGGCTTGTCTCCATTTGCCAGGTGAGAGGTGGGTGGCCTCTGGGCCAACAAGGGTGGGCATGGCCCCACCAGCTCTCCTCTAACTAGGAGACCGTTCAGCTTGGGACACGATTGCTCTTACCCAGCCCCTCATTGCTCCTTCTGAAGAACCATGTTGACTGGCGGCACCACCCGCTCTGGGTGTCTGAAGCAACTGGAGGCCCGCTGAGGCCACCTTCTTTCAGTCCTGGTGGTGACCCCAAGGTTTGGAAAGTCACACAACATCTGGATGGGAGAGGCAGCAGGTTCTTAGGATTCGGGTCTTGCCAGACCAAGACACTCTTCATCCCCACTCTAGCTCCTATGGACAAGGGGTCTTGGCCATCGCCTAGTGCCCCCAGGTTCTGGGGCAGGTGCCAGGGGTCTAACACCAGGCGAGCCAGCAGCTGGAGCTGGAGCAACAGCATCACCTTGGGGAGGGGCAGGGCTGTGGCCACACAGAGTGCAAGTTAGTGTGGCCCTGAACATCAGCTGTGGGCCTCCTTGCTGGCAGTGGTGAATGCCACTGGGAGATGAGGCCCATGGCTCCCAGGGTAAAGGAGGCAGGCAGCCCTCCCCAGCTCCTGGAGACACTCCTTCCTTCCTGCCTGGAGGAACTGTCTTCTCCCCGGGACTCCGTGGGTACAGGATGTCCCACTGAGTTGTCACAGCCTCCCTGAAGGTGTCAGAGCCTCCTCAAGATGGGTCGGGAAAGTGAGGCCCAAAGGGGCAGTGGTTTGACCAGTAGTGGAAGGGCTGAAGAGAGAACTCAGCTAGAGCTTAGCTTTGGGATTGCTCACACCACAGTCTGGGCTTATACTCTCCTAATAAAGAAGAGAAGGCGCTGCCAACTTCCTCAATCATGTTAGAGCCTTTGAGGCTCAGGATGGAGCCAGGCCCAGACTTTTGGAGCACCCTGAGACCCCTGGCCCCAGCTTTGCCCAGTAACGGTTTCTTGACGCTCTGAGGCTGGGAAAGGGCCAAGCGGCATCCGTTCTTTCTCCTCGCTTCCGCTTCTTCCTCTAACTAGGGGACAAAACCCAGCCCACAGCGTCCCGGGGTGGCCAAGGAGGAGGCATCCGCCTATCACTTTAATTTGCAATTTAAGCAACTCCTGGGTGGAAAAACATTCTCCTTTGAGGGCAGCTAGGTCCCGGGAAAATGAGGCCGTGCGTGGTAAACTGAGGCAGGGTGGTGGTGAGGTGCAAGGACACGGCCACCGCTCCACGGGTTGCATCCCTGCACGCTGCACTCCTGCCGGGTGGGCAGACTCTAGCCCTGTCTGGAGGCTGCACACGGTCACCCCCTTCCCAGCTCAACGGCGTGGCTTGTGCCCCGCCCCTCCGACTTCGCCGGGGCTCCCCGGCCGCCACCCGGGCCTGGCCTCCCTGGCAGTTCTTTCTTGACCCTCTGCCCGGCCTGCCGCTGTGCCCTCCCGCACGTCGCGGCCCGCGGGCTCTCGCGCCCCGTGGCCACTCTCTGCGCATCTTGATGGAGTCCCCGGCACCCTCGCGGCTCTGTCTGGACTCTGATGCGGCCCATGCTGTCTCCCCCCGACCCCTCTCTCACCTCTTTCGGTGATCCC